TTTTTTGGGGGGGGGGGGGGGATGTACTGCTGCTCTTCGTGATAATGAAGCCAAGCATTTCCAGGATTACACTGGCTGCAGCGTATACCAGTTCATTGGTTTGAGTTATGGTGGTAGTAGGGAGTGTCTGGAGGGCTCTATTGGCATCTTCTGGCATATTATCTGATGGTACTTCTCCAGTGAGCCTTGGTAATCAGTCCCGAGGGTTGACTGTAGCTGGTTTATCCATGATCTTATGCCTCATATCAGCTGCTGTGTTCTGTAATGGAGGGGGCAGCAGTGACGTTCCAGTTTCAGGTGTTGCTTACACATCCAGTTGTTCTTCCAAATCTGCTTAAGTCTGGGTTATAATGTCTATCTCAAGTTGTGAGAGCAGCTTCCTCTTCACTATGTTGAAGTGCTGGGTAACTAGTTGTTTCTCAGTTAGTGTTGTTGGGTTATAATGTCTATCTCAAGTTGTGAGAGCAGCTTCCTCTTCACTATGTTGAAGTGCTGGGTAACTAGTTGTTTCTCAGTTAGTGTTGTTGTAGGTCTTCTGTCCATCCATAGTTCCCTCATACGTTTCATATATGCCATCCAATTAGGTCTACTGTTGTAGTAGTATTCCATCAATTCCTTGTTCTCTTGTCTCGTCCATGTATGGTTTGATCCAGTAGCCCAATTATCGTCAGATTGTCCTGGTTCTCCAGCATCTGACCAGACCCTGTTAATTCAGGCAACGTCTGAGCCAGCATGACTTTCTTAGTTTATGTCACTCTCATATTTGAGGTAGGCAGGTAAAGTGTTAGGGGGTCTTTGCCCAAGGACCCCTACTGATAATGTAGGTACCAGCCAGGATTTGAACCCCGGTCTCCTGCATCAAAGATGGTGCTCTAACCACTACGCTATCCAGCTGCTTGTGTGTGTGTGTACACACGCATACACATACACACATATACACACATAAATACACACATATACATACATACGTTTAATTTAAAGACAGGATAATTTTCCATTCATTTCTCACATCACAAATAATTCATGAGATATAAATGATAAAAATAATGGAAATTTCAAAGAAAGATTACTAAAAGAGAGAAATATTGAAAAGAGGAGTTTTGTGTGTTTATTACTATTTTTTTCTCTTAATGAATTGTTCTCTACTGTTTAGCTCTGGCCTAACAAGGATTACAAAGCATTTGGGGAAATATATGCAGCCCAGCAACCCAGCACTAGAAGCCAAAATGGAGAAAACCTTCACAGCCACCATGTATTTCCCTTTGGTGCTCAGGTAGGACGGAACAAATGAGAGCCACACACTGCAGACGATCAGCATGCTGAAGGTGAGACATTTGGCCTCATTGAAACTGCTGGGGAGCTTCCTGGAGAAAAATGCTACCGTGAAACTGGCAGCTGCCAGAAAGCCCAAGTAGCCCAGGACACAGTAGAACATAGTAGCTGAGCCTTCATTGCACTGCAGGATGATTTCCTGAGTTTCTGAATGGGTGTCAACATCAGGGAAAGGTGGAAATGTGAAGAGCCACACCGTACAGATGCCTGCTTGAATCAGAGAACAAGAAAGAACAATGGAGGTGGCGAGTCCTCTTCCCACCCATTTCCTCATCCTGGATCCTGGCTTGGTGGCCATGAAAGCCAGAACCACAGTGATGGTTTTTGCCAGCACAGAAGACACAGCCACTGAGAAGATGATGCCAAAGCTAATTTGTCGGAGGAGACATATTATAGTGCCTGGTGCAATGAGGAACTGCAGTGAGCAAAGGAAGCAGAGGAAAAGGGAGATGAGTAGAACATAAGTGAGATTTCGGTTATTGGCCTTGACAATGGGAGTATGGTGATTCTTCAGAAATGTTGCCAGCACCACAATTGTGCAGAAAGAAAAAAAAAGTGCCAGAATGACTAAACTTATTCCCATTGGTTCTTCATAGGATAAGAAAGATATCTTCTTGGGAAGACATGAATCTTGGTCCATGCTTGGATGTTGCTCTTCTGGGCATTTAGTACAAACATGCATGTCTGGAAAATAAGTGTATAATTCTTCTATAATCATTTTCTATGGTCACTGTATTATTATGTACTTGGTATCCTAGGCTGCTACTATCCATGTCACTTTTTAGTGTTGCATTTATTATTCATTAAGCAGTGGTTAGAATGCCATTTTTTCTCTAACGGGACTCTTTTTCATGCTTATTACTGTGTGCCTTACATTTTGTCTAACTTTTTCTTTATTTTGTTCTATTTTTGTGTCATGTTTTATGGGGTACAATTTGCTACATGATTCTCCAGACAGTATTATTGAAAATAATATCACTAAAAATAAATATAATGGATTGTATTGGTATCACTTCATTCTGTTTGATCAAGATACTTTTTTTTTTAATATATAGAAAGAGGTATACTAAAGTCTAAATAGATCAATAAACAAGTAAACATAGCATAGAATGATATGTGTTTTGTTATCAAGCTGAATCCTGTTGTGTTTTTACAATGTGTTGTAAAATGTGTATTGTTAAGATTAATTCTGTTCATGATGCTTCTTACCCTTGTGGCTTGAAATTTTCTCTTTGGGACATGGAAGACAATCATAGCAGCAAAATGGCTTCCCTTCCTGCTTTCTTTTGAAATAACCAGGGAGGCAGCTCTCTGTACACACCGAAACAGGCAGGGTCTGCCCAATAAGTGAAATAGGAAGGAAAATTTTAGCATTCAATCAGATATTTGAGGGGAAAAAGTTGAAAAATCTTGATTGATATTTGGCAAATCAAGGATGCTAATTGTAAGAACTTGTTTTTTTCTTACCAACATCATAATCAAAACTATTCAGGAATAGATATTTTTTTTCCTGTTCTACTAATTGTATAAGTAACCTTGTTTCTTCTAAACTGGGAAATATTTTAGGCTCAGACCATGCTGAAGTTAATTCAGTGTGGGACTCATAATAACTGAAGGTTTGTTTTTTTTTCCCCAGTCACTTAATCTCTTGCTGTGGATAATACAGACATTTTAAATAAAATTAAAGACAAATGAATATTTTCCAGGCTTATTTAAAAAAACAAAAAAACAAAAACAGAATCTAGAGTCACTTGTACAGTGAGATGGGTGGCATATGTATATAAATTTGAAAAATAAATAAATAATTTGACAAGAGGGTGGTATATAGATGAAGGCAATAGAGCTAAAATGAGTTATACCCAAAAGAGATCACAAACTTTGAAAGAAAGTGCAGTGGCAGCCTGTCCTGTGAGCCCAACTTTAGAAACAAAGCATCACACCCAATTATTTGTGGAACAGTGCCTCTGGTTTCCAACAGAGTTTTCTACATTACAGTTTCTTCCTTCCTTGCCCTGGGTTCACAACTAATGCCAAAACCAAAACCTGGATCAGCACATTTCCAAGATGGAACATCTACCCCCTTGACCATTCAGGTCAGGACTGTCTTCTCCAGCCAGATTAAAACATGAAGTTGTAACAGGATGTTATTATCAGTACGGGGAATATTAGTGCAGGAAGATCTGCCCTTCATGAGCAACAGCCAGAAACCAAGGCTTCTGAACACCTGGTTCTCAGGATATGATGATTCTTCAATCTAACTTTATGTAGAAGTTAAATAGTGGAAAGAGAGAACCAGATTTTGTGGCATCCTTATGAGAGCAGCCACTGGGTTCTTCTCTCCTCCCCACAGCCATAAACTGGAAACACCCTCTCAGGAAGCAATGTTTCCAACCCTCAATTCCTGCAGACTTTGCATGAGGGTACTACAGTTCCATGTATATTCTTAATTATAGAAGAAATAATCTTTTTAATTAGCAGAATGATTAGAATAATATATTTTATTTAGTTTGTTAGCAATCCTTTTTTTTAACATGACTTGTTTAAAATTTTTAATTTATATTTTTCCCTCTACATTTAATAAAACCAATTTGCCTCATTCATTATTATCAGAATACAAAACTAAAATATCTACCAATGATATTTTATACTACTAGAGGCTTCATCAAGCATGCTTGACACTGAATCTGGACTAAGTCATTTTGGCAGCCTGTCAACTCCTTTTAAAATTCTTATTATATTTTGTTCTTCTAAGCTATTAGTTGTTTTTCAAATAAATCAATTCTTTGCTTTTTAACCTTATTTCAAATTTCAATATGCTTTATTCTTAAAATACCCCTCTCAGAAGGCTGTTTGAAATAGCACTTGTCATAACTAAAAACTCACAATTTTATTTGTAAAAATATGTCTATAATATTCTTTCTATGTTAAATGATAAAGATTTATTTTTTGGATATCATCTCAGGCTTTCAAGCAAAAAAATCAGAACCTACTTGGTTGAATGTTCTGGGCCAGGTGATGGCTTCCTCATGAATGGTGAACATTTTCTCTTCACCAGCCCAGAGATCCAGCTTCCCAACTTTTACTCGATGGAAGGACTGGTTCGGGAATGTGACCCAGTTTATGATATCAAATCCAACTATCAATTCCCTCTTCTGATCAAACAGAATCCTATCCCCAGCACTGTTATTAAATGAGATCCTTTTCAGAAACTGGTGGAGCTGAACATCAATGAATATACAAATGTTGGTAAGAAAACAAAATCAATACTGAATACGCTATTTTCACATTGACTGCTGCAGCAATGTCTGCAAATTTGCTACTTGCCTTCAGCATTTGGTGCAACCCTTCAATTCTATTATACAACCAGTACTCGCAGACTAAGCTCCATGCTCCTCATTTTCCCATAGAAGCAACACCTTCTTCTTTATTTTTTAATTTAAAATGATAACAATAATTTCAACATGGTTCACAATGTTCTAATGATTAAAAAGTGCTGTCCAACTATAAAACCCCAACTATAAAACCAATTGAATTGAGCAGCTGGGGGAAAAAAGAGAGTATGTTTCCTGTCTATGTGGGTGGGGGGCATATTTCTTATCTAGCAAATATTATTATCCATAGTCAATATTATTTGAAAACGTGAAGAAAAAGCATCCAAATTGAACATAGAATATGTAGGATTACACTTGTTTTCTAAAATGTATGAGGTTGTTATGGAGTCAATTTTCTTTTATCTTTATTTTTTTTTAAAACCCATGTGCTTTTGAATCCCTTGGTTAGAAAGGTTTTCTCTCCTTTCTTTCCTCGCAGATTAACAACTTCTGTATCTGCCTTTCGAGAACTAAAGCTACAAGCTGAAAGATGAAAAAGAGTCAAGAATGAAGGGTGCTGAATGAACACGGATTAAATACCAGCACAAAACAAGAAAATAGAAATAATTTGACAGATTGAGAATAAATGAGAATTGAATTATAGATCATATTTATTAAGCAAGAGTGAATGGAGTGAGAGGAAGGGAAGAGTGAGAAATCCATGGAGAAAGTTGATGGGAATTTAAAAAGAGAGAGCTAAGGAGAGTTAAAGAACAACAAAAAATGCATGAAACAGTGCATGGGGCTGGGTGGAAGCTAGGATGGTTTGAAGGGTAGAAAATTATGGAATGAAATGGTTGGTGTAAACTAGATTTACCTATATACCTCAGATGTGTCATGTCTCATTGCTTCATTTCTTCGTTTACTGTGATTTGCATAAAAAATAGTAAATTGTATATGCATGCAGATTTGTATGTAGAGAGAGAAAAAGGCATAAACGTTCAGTACCTGCCATGGCTGTTGCTCCTGAATATTCAGTTTCCCTCCTTTCAGTATCCCATTGTGCTTTTGTTCAGTCTTCATAGCATGTAAAGCATGGGCTACAACATACACTGCATTGTATATATTATAGCTATGCCCAGTCATCCTCATTTCAAAAAAAGACCCAGGAAGGTTCTCCAGTTTCTCCCGCATAGTGCAAATGTCACGATCTTTCTCATTCACCACGGGATTGGGAAATGCACAGTCAAATGCATGCACCCACACATCTTTGATGAAGCCATCTTCTTTTGATAAGAAATGGCCCCTCACCTGCACAAATTGCTGAAATCCTGGAACTTCATTGGAA